AGCAAGAGAAAAAAATGTAGAGATAGAAAGTCAGTGAAACGAGTGAAAAAAAGAAAAGATAAACATAATTATTAAAGGAATTAGATAATAAAAATGAGGGGTTTATTCCCATCACAAAAAAAGTCCTAATCAAAAGAGTTTCAATCAATGTCGTTTTATTATATCGTGATTGGTCGTTTTTGCTCCGTGGTTAGGCAAATAAATATTTAAAAATACTATGCTTAATAACAAAAAATATCAAAAATGAACCCCAGAATTGGAAAATAAAATAATAGAATTAGTTGGTGGTAAAAAAGAAGAAAAAGAGTTAAAAAAAGGTGAAGTGAAGCCAGATGGCAGTTTAGTAATTGTTGATTCAGAAAAAATTAAGACTAATGATTTCGAATTATTATTAGGTCAGATTAAACAGCAAAAAGAAATTATTAAAACTAAAAAAGCCGAATTAGCTAAAAAACACGGTTATGCGGATGAAGCTAAACAGATTTTAAAAGAGATTAAAGCCTTAGAGCCTAAGATTAAAGAGTGAGATAAATTTGCGAGTTGATTTGAAAGTGCCTATCAAAAGTTCTTAAACGGTGGAACTGGCGGCTACGGCACTGGTAATGTCGGTTGAAAAGCCCTCCTTAGCACTTATTTGCAAAGTAAGTATAAGAAAGTGGCCAGCACTTCCCCGAGTGAAACTAATGCTACGGATTTGGAAGATTATGGCAGCAACCTTTATCAATTCTCAACTAGAACCGAAACCGATGATAACCAAATTAGTTCTTGAAAGGTAACTGAAAACGAAGTTATTAAATTAATTACTCGCACGGTTAAAGAAATAGGAGCGATTGATTACGATAAATTTGTAACTTATACTAACGCTCACGCTCACTCCTTATCCACTAGCACTAGTGAAATAGATCAAGCTGAATATAGTGCTACCAAATTACAAGGCTATTTAAAAGCTATTCAAGACCGATCCAAATGTTTAGTAGATAATAAAATTAAGACTGATAACCACCCCGACAAAGGAAAATCAGCTAACGGTCATCGAATTGAATATAGTTTTGGACAAGATTTCACCAAACACGGCTCAAATACTCCCCAAGATAGTGGAAATTTCACTGAAAAAGAGTTAATCGGATTATTTAGATTAATGAGAGCTTGCCAAGATTCCACTTGAACCGATCATGCGGATTTCAAAACTGCAACCGCAAATGTAAAAGATGATACCCTGATTGTTTTACCAGCCAAAGCTAACCCGATGACTAAAAGTGATTTCACTAACTTCACTCCGGAAGATTTAGGAATTCCGGTGGACAGTAATGGTAAGTCAAATTTTTATGCCACCGATTACGGAACCAAAATCAGCGAGGAGGAGGAAGACAAAGTCGAATATAGTTGAAATACTAAAAAAGAGTTAAAAATTGAGCAAGGAATTACCGGTTGAGCCAAATTAATCAATGGAATTATCCATACTGGTTACCATGACTTTACTAATCGGCAAAAATTAATCAGTTCTTTTACCAATGACCCGATCAGACAATTATTTTCCGATATTCGAAGTTATGTTCAAAAAGATAATGCTTTAAAAACTGATAAAGATGGTAGTGGAACTTCCACTCCTGATTATGCTTGCTTTGGCTCGGGAACTGACCGTTGAACTTATCACGGATTCCCCGATTTCTATTTAGCCGAAGAAAGTCGACTTAATGAGTATGAAACTGAAAAAGCCAGTTTATTAGAAGGGGTTAAAACCGGTCGAGAAAGTTTAAAAACCGCTGAAAAAGCACTAAATGAAGCTAAAAAAGAGTTAGTTAAAAAGAAAAAAGAAGTCGATAGTAAAATTACTGAAAAAAAAACTGAACTAAGAAAAAAATTAGCCGAGGATTGAAAAATTAGTGCTACCGAATATAAAGGATTCAAAAAAACCGCTACCGAAGATAATCGAATCGAGTTAACTAGCATGGGACAAATTGAACTTTTGCTAAAACAAATCCGATATTTAGAAAACTTTGATGAAGAGGCTCCTAGTTCAGTAAACAACGAAGAATTAGCAAGAAAGGAATTGGAAACCTTAGCCCACAAGATATTTACCGAGCGAGATGAAGATAACAAAATCTTTTTAGTCCGTTATTTCCGAGATGGCGAGGGAAGAACGGAGGCGGAAAAAATCGAAAGTTTTGAAAAGAATTTTGGCACTAAATCTAAATGGGTAATGCATGCTCTGTCAGAGGTAGTGACTGGATTCAAAAATTTGGAAGAGTTAGTTAAATTACCTAGTCATTATCAAGATATGAAAAAGTCTATTGAAGACTATTTGGCAAAAAAACAAGAAGAAGAAAAACCTACCGATTGACAAAATGACTCCGCCCTCGGTGCTGATTTTACCGATGAGTTAGTGGAGAAGTGAAAAAAAACTTCTAAATTCAAAACCATAGCCGAAGTTAGAAAACTTTTGCAAGAGGTTCGAGAAACGGATAAAACTGATTTCAAAGAAGACTTCTTAAAGTGATTAAAAGATAAAAAAATTGTGGAAGGAGAAAACACCACTGAAAAAGGTATTGAAAACTGAAAAGCCTTAATCAAGAAAGACCCCGAAGAAGTGATCACCGCTATTGAATATTACAAATACGATAAACTAGATAATGAATTAAAAGCGGAAAAGAAAAAGAAATTAGTCTGAACTTTGGAAAAAAAAGGGGAAGATGGTAAATATCTAGAAGATGCTGATTTAACCGAAGAGGAAATCAAAACTGTTCTTTATGAAATTGCAGAAGGTAAAAAAACCCTCGCTAGTGAAAAAAAAGCTGATGAAACTAATGGGGATGAAAATCAGAATCAAGACCAACCCTTGGATAGTTGGTTTAAATTTGGTGAAGGTAATTATGGTAAACCCTCGCTATTTTATGGAGGATGTTTACTAGCAATAGCGGGAACAGCTAGTGCGATATTTTGGCAACGAATCAGCGAATGATGAAATGGTTCCACCAATGAACCAATTGAGGGAAAAAACGAAACCGAAAAAGATGATGAAGAAGAATAAAGAAATCAAAAGAATGCTGTGATTTTTTCGAAGTTTGACTATAGTTTGAATTATGATATTTTCAATGATGATGTATAAAAATGCCGGAACTAGAGCATGATTTGATTTAACCATCAACATTTTAGCAATCTTAATTATGTTGGGAGGTTGAATTTGGTTAGAAACCAAAATTAAAAAAGACCATGAATAAAAAATACCAAATTATCATCAATAACTATCCCCTCACCCTAACTTTAACTCCACCCCCTCAGTGGGGTTATTGTGTCGGATGCGACCGGGATCAACCAATCAGAATTATTAGTCAACATCCGCAACAACGCAGTCGTAAGTTCTGCCACTCTTGTTCCCTAAATAACTTAGATGAATTATGAGAAAAATCATTTACTAACCAAACTCAAATTATTCAAGAAATCCGCTCTTTTTTACTAACCAGCACTTTAGAAAAAGAGGAAATATTAGAATGTTATGGATAAAACTAAGCACCAACCAATTCCCAAACAAATTAGGAAAAATATAAAAATCCAAGTGTGAAGATTTCAAGAATTAAGTAAAGAGATAAGTTTTATCTCCCCGGCAGGTTGCAAATTAAAAGACATCACTGGTTCTAAAAGTCTACGAAACATTAGAGCAAAAACCCATCTCATTTGTAATGAGTGAGGAAAAGACTATGAAAATGTAGAAGAAATGTTGAAAATGGCGGAAAGCCTAAGAAAAAGTTATGTAAATCTGATATTCAGAACTCAGTTTTTTCGCGACCCAGAAGTTCAGCGAGTATTAGATGAAATACCTCTCGCTTTAGGAGAAATTATCAAAGAATATGTATAACCAAAATAATAACCCCCAACCCCAACCTTACACCGAAATGAAATTAAAAGTCCTCATCACCGAAATCGAAAAAAAACTAGACAAAAACCAACAAGATTTCTGAATTATCAGAACTCGGTTAGGTTCAATCTGTAAAGATTACTTAACTTTTAGCCAAGATTATTCTACCAGCGAAAAAACTAAGCAATTATTAATAAATTATCCCGAAAGATTAATTAACCAAACTGCCTTATTAACCATTAAAAAAATGAACGATAAAGAAAAAGTAATCAATTTAGAGTTAGAAAAGTAATATGTCAAAAAATAAGGATTTGAAGAAGTGAAAATTATGACCGAACGAATAATCGGAATTAACCAAATAAAAAAGCACGAGTGAGTTATTGTCTCAAATGGTTACGCCGATGGTTACTGGAATTGCGAAAGTTCTAGTCAAAGTCGAGCAGGTTCAATTTGTGGAAGTATCGACCGATTATTAAGATTAGCGACTCAGGATGGAAAAAATGGCCGCTGAGTATGTGCTAAACATACCAAACGAGATTATAAGTTAGTAGGAGAATGAGTAAAAACTTGGGAACTTGATTTTAAACCAAAAGATCCCAATTTAATGAAAACAGATCCCACTAACCAATTAATCGAGGCATAATCAACCTTTTGGGTTCCTTTACTTCTCCGCCCAAAGTTTGATAAACTTGAATTTTTCATAATTAGAGTTAGGATTAAAGTGAGGGGTCTCTGCCATTTGAAAAGTATAAAATCAAGGGTTTAGTTAAGTTTCTCCCTTTTACTAGTCGAAACTAGCAAGAAAAAAACTGACTAGTGGGTCATTTTAATTTAGGTGTTTTCTTGCCCACTATTAACCACCCATTAGTTTTTAGTTTTTCTGTTGTAGTATTTAGATATTAACTTTTTGGCTAGTGGGTGGCAATATGGGGGTGTCATGACCCCCGAAACCAATTTCTTACTGATGATGAAGTTTGTGTGTTTAAGTTTAATGCATATTTTTACGAGTATAGAGTTCCCTGCTCTGCAAATAAAGAGGGTTATATTTTATTTACCGAGTTCTGACCCTCTCGCAAAAAGGGTTACATGGTTCCCCAAAGCAGTGTTTATGAGTGATTTTTTAACCGCTTGGGGAACCTCCGAATATGGGAGCCTAATTCCTAATAATTTTTGCCAGGGATTCATCACCCTACTAATTTTCGGTTTCACACCCCGATTTGGCAAAGTTTTCAAAAAAGGGTTTTAGGCTCCCGTCACCATTTTTATAACATTCTATGTAAGTTATAACTTTTGGTATAACAGGTATAACAAATAAATTAAAAAAAAATGAATAAAATCTCTAAATTAACTGCTGAACAGCAAGAAATTGAACAATTAAAAAAACAAGTCGCTGAATTGTCCAAATTCAAGCACGAACGTAAAGGAGGTAGTAAGAAAAAAACCTTAGACCAAATTTCCACTCCGGCTCATATTTCGGAATTTATGCGAGATTTAGTTCAGTCAGAAAAAAAAGACCAAGTAGCAGAAATAGTCATTGACATTGCTTGCGGTGTAGGTTCATTATTAATTCCGTGAAAAGATACTAATGCCTTAATGATTGGAGCCGATTTAGATGAAGAAGCTTTAGAACTATGTAAAATAAACCTCCCTTCGGCTATCCTTTTTAAACACAATTCCTTAGAATGCGATACTCCTTGCGAAATTAAGGAACATATTTTTTACCAAGGAACTAGTTTAGCCAAGATTAAAGAACAAAAAGGAGAAAAGGTATTCGTGATGAACCCTCCATTTAGTTTAGCCGGTAAAATGGTAAGTAAAGTTTTAGAATTAGCCAAAAATGAATAAAGTCCTCATAATTGCCCCACTTTCAGTAGCTATTGGCACTAAGTATAAAGAACGACCAAAATGATTAAAAAATGCTAATTTAGCAGCAGTTTTAACTTTACCAGGTGATTTATTTGCCGGTCAAAACACCGGAACTCATACTTGTCTAATGGTTTGAAATACTGGTAAAAGCCATAATAAAGAAACTTATCTAATGAATTGTAAAGAAGATGGATTTATCATTTTAAAAGGCAAAAGGTTTGATAAACACCAAAAATGACCTCAAATTAAATCCCAATGATTAACCATGTATCAACAACGGGATATCTCCCGACCAACTATCGCGATTCAGAAAGAATTAACCGCCCAAGATTGTTGATTAGCCGATTCCTGAGTAAAGACTGATTATTCGCCAATTTTTAACGATCCTACTTTTTTTAAAAAGAAACTTGAAAAAACTATTCGCGACTATTTAGCCTTTCGCATCAGCACATTTAGCGATATAGACTGAACCAAAAAATAACATGGAAATAAGCACTATCGAAAACAACACTAGTAAAGAAAATTTGGAACTTTTAGAGTCTATGGCTTGAAGAAGTGAATGAAATGGAAAATATTTTGAACAAGTTAGGGGATTCCTCAATTACTTTAACGATGCTGA